GGATGGTCACTGAGGAACCAGTTCCCTAAGAGAGGCCAGAGCGGCGTGGATGCGGACGTGCAGTCTGTTTTCAAAGTCGTAGCCAGAGAAATTCTCCTGTGGAGCCAGAGAGAGATGTTGGACTCTTAGCTGAGCTTGCCCAGGGCACCCGGGACAAACCACATGACATCTTACTCTCCCCAAGTCAAATTCTGCACACTCCCGGGAAAGGGTTCACAGCCACTTGATTTTCTTATTTCCCAAACTTCATACTTTGAGCTTATTTCTTAAAAGATAAACTGAATGTTGACAATGTTACCTCTGAAAATTTTCATTATTTTTGAAACAGTAATTTTAAACTACTGTTAGAAATTGTTAATTCAAGGACACAGTTATGAAATCAAAAGTTTACTTTCTCTGGCACAGGGCACAGTGGTATATGCTTATAGTCCCCCTTGCTGCTTGGGAGGCTGAGACAGGAAGCTCACCTGAACCCAAGAGTTTGAGACTAGTCTGGGCAACAAAGTAAAAGTTTATTTGTTCACCCAAACACTAACACTAGAGCATTTATAAAACAGGCTGAGCTCTCTTACAGGAATTCCTTATAATCTTGGAAATTTGACTTAAAAACCAAGTGCTCACTAAATTAATTGGTTATCACTTCTCCTTTCCAGAATTAACAGCAAACAGAACATCTCTTTACAAACATTCAGGTGTACAGCGCACAGCAAAAGGAAGACCACGGGAAAAGAGGAAGATCCAGGATTGTTACCTTTGCTTGAAGAAGTAGAGTTCTGCCTCTCCCTACGGTCTAAATATAAGAAAAATATATTATTTCTTACTGGCTAAATTCATCTATACTTAAGCAGATAGTGTTATTGCAAGAGGGCAGTGAACTAATGTCACAGCACAGAGCTGACTCAACTGTTCACTCAAAGCAATGACTCAGTTGTGCCTTAACATAAAGATGTTTATGAGCTTAAATCAAGGCATGACTTGATAAACGATTTTTCAGTCTTCACTATTAGTCTATAAGAGGAAACAACTAAGGCATAATGCCATAAATTAGAATCTTATTAAACAACCTAAAACTAAAATTAGAAGGTTTCATCTAAATATAGTAACATACATTTCCTTTTGAAGGCCATGCTAAGTGAGAATATCACTTTACTCTTTGAAAGACAGGCCAGTCTTATGTATTTTACATATATATATATATAAAGGTTACATGAAGAGCAAAAATTTTATTAAAGAATATTACATTAGAAGTTTCTATCTAAATTTGTAAAATCTGTATTTTCTATTTTGGTAAAATTAGACCTTCATATTAAAAAAGACTTTCCAAAAGCCCATCCTTGGCAGGATAGGGTACATATTTAATGATTTAGAGACTTATTTCTGTTCACCTAGATGAACATTTAGAAGGCCCATATATGAAGCTCATGAGAATGAGTTTCTGAAAGAAAGCATCAAGCAAATTCAGCCTCTATTGGTCAGACAAAGGCCCACTAACCCTGTGCTAGCTTAAATATACATCATAATAGCAATGGCCAATTTGTATCTGTGTGGTATTCTAGAATGTTTACAGTCATCCAATGGATGATCTTCATTTGTCCTCCTTACAGTCTTTATTGACTCAACAAGATAGGTATTGTTTTGATCCTGTTTTACAGATTAGGAAGCAGGTATCTGGTAAAGTAATGTGACCAGAACCATATGCTAAATAAACGGCAGACCTAGAGGTATGACATAATTCTGTTCTCGATACACTATCGAGGACAGATACTCCATATCGTACCATTCTGAAAACAGGCCACGATTTTCCCTCAAGTTAATATCTTTTTCTGAAAGTTATATTGTAATTCATGCTCCAGTGGGGACATGATCTCCTCAAGGATATGAAGATAGGATCACTACCTTCTCGGACTCATCCTACGTGAAGCCAAGCAAAACAAACCAGAGAACACTTCACTCAATTTGTTTTAAATGAAGGATGCTTTGCACCTGTTCATGTGTACATTTTTGCTGATGAACATTATTAAAATTTATATATAGTATCTTACCTCTGGTTTGTCTAATAGAAGACAGCCCAGTTCATAGCAAGCGTATGGCTGAACATATAAGTTATTCTGACGACACAACTCATCTTTAGCAGCTCGCTGAAAGAACTGGAATAACAGAAATGTTATTGGAATTAATTCATTCTCCTACATGGTGTAAGGCAGGTGGCAGGAAGGGAGATAAGATTTTTCTCTTCTTTCCTCATCTGTTTTCCTCCTACCCAGCCCCACGCCCATCTTAGCTGTCTTCCACATGCCTACCTGATGAGCTTTCAGCAAAACATACTTTCCACCAGTCAGTCTAATTCATGCTAATTATCTTTCCAGCTGACACACCAACTTCTATTGATCTTATTGCTAAAAAACATTTTTATCTGTATCAAAAAAATCTAAACATGCCCATTTTAATATTTAAGATATAAAAACAAGCCAAGAACCATCTCTTCACATGTATCTTAAATGTGTCTTGCTGGCACCTAAGCACATGATCTATTTAGAGCTCTGTAATAACTACCCTAAGCCCACACTACAAAATTAGTTTAAAGTTACAATATAAGTATAGCAACACACTAAGATTGAAAAATCAAGCCTCCCAATACTCTTCCAAAGAGTAGTCAAAGCAACACTGGGACAGACGTCTTAAAAAAAAACCAACCAAGCTGGGGTTAGAGCTCAGTGGTAGAGTGTTTGCTCAGCATGCAGGAGGCCTGGGGTTCAATTCCCAGCCGAAGCCAGCAGCTTAAGTCCCACACCAGTAATGTGCAGCTGTGAAGAGTGGAAAAGTGAACGCACACTAACACACCCGATCACTTCTGTTTTCATTTAACTATGAGGCCTCGTCCTGCTCCTTCAGATGCTCTGCCTCACTTCTTCCCGTCTCACTCCGAAACTGTGAGCTCTGGTAAGTGGCTTCTGCCAGAGAAGAAGCCCATATATAAAGAAGCCCTAAGAATCCACAGTTACACTGAAAACATTACTTTGCCTATCATCAACTTCTAGTTTCTGAAAAGATGGAATTAATCAAAGCAGATATAGTTCTTACTATAGTGGGAGGTTTGGTTTCATTTAGTGCTTTTTCATGTTTTCTTATTCATAAGCACAGATGTGGGTGGTCATGATTTCTCCTCCTTTAGCCAAAACGACATTAACAGTTTACCTGAACAGCATCTTCTGAGTTTCCCAGACATTTGTGTATGGCACCAAGGAGCAAATACTTTAGGCCAACAACAGACGAGTCATCCACTTCGTGGCAAGCTGAAAAAGAAGGGGAGTTGAAACATCCAGGGGTAGAAAAAAACACTGTTTGTTAGCTCCTTGGAAACTGCCAAGAGTAAGTCCCTGCTTCACCGTTCAGCTACTTCTTTAGTTTATATTTCTGCCCCTAGAGACTCAGGAAGTCTCCCTTCCTCATCCATTACTGAGGATCCTTAATCAAGGAAAGAAGGGCAAAAATACACATCTTTAACGAGCCAGAAAAAAAACCACCATTAATATAGAAACAGGTCAGACTCAAGGTGTGGGAAATTTTTTCACTCATTTTAAAACTTGTCAGTAAAAATCTAGCTATTCAATTGAGATTAGAAGCTTGAAATGTGTATTATATATTCTATTCACTTACCTGAGTACCGCTTCGAAAGATTTCAGCTTTTGTTAGAACTACTCTTGGATCCTGAATTTTATGAATCAGTAGTGTTTATATTAAAAAATTCTCAAAATTTGTGTCATGATATTTTTGAGTGAAAGAAGCTAATCTGAAAAGGCTTCCTACTGTATGACTCCAACGATGTGATATTCTGCAAGACAGAAGTGTGGAGACAATAAAGAGCAGTAGTTGCCACGGGTGAGCAGAGGAGGAGACAAGACCTACAGTACTCGTAACAGACCTACTGCGGGGTTCAGCCCTTCCCCGCTTGCTCAAACCCACAGAAGGTGCCAGACCAAGAGTCTCGCAGGGCCTGACTGACCCAGGGCGAAAGATGAACTTCCGCGATGAAGAGGTGTCAGCGCTGGTTCACTGACGACGCCCAGTGCACCATCCCTGTGTGTGCGTAGGGTTAGGTGTGGTAGAGGACAGGAAGGAGGACGTGAGGGGCTCTGGACTTTCTGCACAATTTTGCTATGAACCTAAAACTGCTCTAAAAAGTTCTATTAATGGAAAAATTTTTGCATCATCGATTTCCAAAGTCGTGCAGCAAGAACCTTCACATATCTATCTGCATGAGGCAGTATACCAGGCACGGAAGAGGGTGGTCAGACCAACCCCTCCACCTCCAGAGACCCACCAATGGAAGACAGATGTACAAGTGGAGGGTGTTAGGAAGGTTTTCCAAGGAAACGAGCAGGGTAGAAATTGGAAACATACTGGCACTAATGAAGGAGGGAATGGAGCAATACAATTATTTCTAAGGGCCAATAAAGATATGGAGATTCAATAAAACTTTTGTGTGTTAAGTTTGTATATATATTCAAGTTACAGAAGAAGAAACTGGAGAGAAGGTTCACATGAATAAAAGAATCTAAACCCGCAGAGGCACGAGTGTCCAGGATGTGACACTACCACACAAAAAATAACTCAAAGGGTGTTAAGACAGCACGCTAAGGAAATGGTGATGCGATCACTCCTGTGCTAACTCCTTCACCAGTTCAGCTCATCCATTCAATATCAATTGGCACTTCCTATTTGCCATGCAGTTCTGGACACTTGTTGGCCGTGATGGTGCACGCCTGGATTCCCAGCACTCAGGAGGCTGAGGCAGGAGGATTGCCATGAGTTTGAGGCTGGACTGGGTTAATAGTTACTTCAAGGCCAGCCTGCACTACATAGTGAGACCCTGTCTCAAAAACAGAAAGAAAAAAAATATATATATATATCACTGATAAAATACACAAAAATTCTTCTTCTTAAAAAAGGACTGAAATAGATATTTCTCAAAGAAGACACACAAATGGCCAACGGATGTATGAACAAATAAGCTCAACATTATTAGGCATTGTCAAAATGGAAATCAAAATCCCAACGATGTATTTCCTCCTAGCTGTTGGGATTATGAACAAAACAACACTAGAATATCAGGAGCTGGTGAGGATACAGACAGACTGGAACCTCGGGCACTGTCGGTAGGAAGGGTGTGGCTGCCATGGAAAACATTGTGGCTCTTCCTCAAAAACGAACTAGGACTAACTTCCCATCTAACAACCTCACTTTTGGGAGTTTATCCAAAAGGACCAAGGGCAGGATCACAGACATTTTGAATGCTCATATTCACTGCACCATCATTCACAACAGTCAGGACAGAGCAACAACGGAAACACTCACCAACAGACGAATAAAGGAAATGTGGTATGCACACGCAACGGAATATTATCCAGCTTCCAAAAAGGAATTCTTATCACATGCAACAACTTGGGTGAACCGGGGGGACTTAAGCCAGCCAGAGAAGGACAAAGATTCCACTTATGTTAGTGGAAATGGGTCAGATTCACGGCATTGGAAGGCAGAATGGTGGTTGGCAGGGGTTGAGAGGAGGAGGAAAAGCGGGAGGATGTTCAATGTGACCCAAACTTTAGTCATGCGTGATGGCACAGCTGTGCTGAACCGCTGTGCAGGACAACCCTGTTGTTACAGGTGACAATAAAAGAAATCGCTGCTGGGATTGTAAGTGGTGTAGTGTGCTTAGAGAGGTCAGATCTACACGAAGATTTAAATGGCACATATTCTGGGGGGTTCCGAGGATCGAATCGGGGCCTCACATGTGCTAAGCACATGCTTTCGACTCAGAAATTCCCCTTCTAGGGATTTATGCTGCAGGGGGTGCAGGCGTACAGATGCGAGAACGTCCCTACGTATATATTCAGGCCTCGGCACGAGGCAGTCAGCTGCAGCAAGCGACTGGAGGCTGCCTACATGTTCACAGGTCGGACAGCAGTCACACAGACTGCTGGTGCTCACACTCCGGGACACTACAGACCCTCGAAGGAGCGAGGCAGATCTGTGTTGGCACTGGAGTCCTCCACAATCCTGATCACCGGAAAAGCCCAGGTGGAAGAGCAGGAAGAGGACGCTCCCTTCTAACACGCCGCCCCCCTCGGCACCCTTCGGAGCCTGCTTCCAGCGTCCCCCGAGGATCCCCAAATCTGCACCGGCGCGGTGCTTGCATACAACCAGCCCACCTCCTCCCACCCTCCATGCACGGCCTCTGGGTTACTTCCGACTCCCGACACATGGCAGTGTCCCTTAGACGGCTGCCCTGCTGCTCGCGCTGGGGACGTGGATGAGGAAGGAAGTCGGCACGCGCTCTGTGGAGGCGCAAGTGTTTCCCCCAGTGTTTTGGGTCCGTGGCTGAACGCACAGATGCGGCCCTGGACTGGGGTGTGTATGTGCTCACGACCACACACGCGCACAGATACACGCTCATCTGTAGAAATGCATCTTCAGGTCACTACAAACAGTAGCTGCACCCCTTTTTGGAGAGGTGGTGTCTGGACTCAAAGGGACACTGGTACTTTGTTTTCTACTCCGTTGAACAGTTTGAATATCTCTGCAAATTGTGAATTACTTAAAATCACTGCTTGGCCTTTTGGCTAAGATTAAGTGTGAATTACCTAAAGTATTAAAGCATTGTGATCTTAGCAATGAGTGAAACTCATGCCAGGAAAAAAAATATTCCTGCCCTTAAGAATCTTACATCTGCCAGGGGAGACAAACAGTGTGAAAGACAAACAGGTAAAATGTATGTGTTAAATAAAAAGTGCTATGGTAAAAAAACAGACAGGAAGCGGGACTGGAAGGCTGTGTGCAGGTCAAGCCTCACAGATAAGGCAGTGTGAGTAACATGTGAAGGAAATGAGTGAAGAAGCTATGTGAGTATTGGGGGAAGAGCATTTGGATCACGAGAAGAACATGTGCAAAGGCCCTGTGGCCAACTGTGCTAGGTGAACTGGAAGGCAGTGTGGCTGGAGGCCAGGGAGCCATAGGCCAGAGGAGAGAGACAATTGTGCTGGACACTGCCTGTCACTGAATGACGGTCAGCATCTACTCTGGATGTAATGGTGAACTAGAAGGTTCACAGGAGGATGACAGTCTGACTTCAACTGCAACAGGACCACCCTGGTGTTCTGCTGAGAATGCACAGCTTTAAATGACAAGGGAAAGATGCAGTAGGTGGGGTAGGGAGTTAGGAAGCAGGGGCTAAGAATGAAACCACAAGCTCGGGCCGCAGCAACCTCCCAGTTCTGCTGACAAAGGCTTAGACAGGGACCCTGACAAGGGCCACACACAGAACTCGGAGGCTCACGATCCACACTGCAGGCTTTCAGGGTGTTCTGGCAGGCGACTCTTTCTCTACAAAAGTGCGCTCCACGTGGCTGCACGGATTTGGAGCACTGCCATGCAGCACCCAATGAACAGGTCTCAGGAGCAGGTTAGCTTTTTAAAAAGTTATTAAAAATGATCTCCTTTTCACTCTGGACTGCCTCCTTCTCCCAGAACAGACCTTTGCTGTTAGTTCGTTCATTTTGCGACCTGGAAAGGGGTGCAGAGGGTATTTAGTGAAATCTCACTGCAGCGATAATTACCTCATGGCTGTCAATTACCACTTATCCTATGCCTGCATCTGTTTTAAGGATCTTTCACTACAGGGCCCTGCACTGGTACAATTACAAAGGTCTTCAGATCCTTCACTGTTCCCGTGAGTTAGACACCAGGGAAGAGCTGTAAGTCACGCAGCTCTTTTAAAATGGCCACAGCACGACTGACACACCCAGCCTTCTAGCTGCTCTCCTGGGAGCACGCACACCTCTGTAATGATGGGGCCACCGCGTGAAACTCGCTCGGAGTTCCCTTCGCTCTCTGGGTTACCAACATTGGAAAAATTTTGACCTTTAAGGGCAAACTTTCTTGTTTTTGTTTTTTAAATAGGCAAAAGTCATCTATAGGAAAGCAGGATACGAATATGTAATTCAGTGAACGATAACACACTCGGTCAAAAACAAAGTGTGACCACAGAAAAACCTGGCAAAATTCCTACAGTGGAAATTTCTATGGTCTATTTCTGGAATACGTCCAAGATGTTCACACCAAATCTCTTTTGGGAAAGGGCAGCACCTATCTAGGTTGCAAAGATGCTTTCATGAAGCCATCCTTTTGGAGGTACGCATTTTATTTTAACATAGTAGCCCCTCCTTGTAATCATAATTCTGGGTGCAAAACCCAGCTTGTTCACCTCTTGCAGATGTCTGACCACTAAAGGCTCTGCCACTCAAGCACTGTGCTGTCCTCAGACCAGCAGCAGGGACACCAGCAGCCAGGCACCCGTGGAGGTCACCAGGCTGCTGGGAGGCCACCTGCTCCTTATGACGTGGGCACGACAACGCTGCCTGTCCTATATCCAGGGTTCCACAGCATACAGGTCGGGAGCATATGCTTGCCGGACTACAAAATACCACTCTGATGTCTACTAGAAACCTTTATATCATTTTTTTAGTAGTCCACAAAGTCCCATTTTCATTACAAATTTAGGCTATTCTCCCCAGTGAAATTTTGCTACGACTATACTAAAAATAGTTTTATCACAGTTATCGATGGCCTGTGGGTTTTCTAAGTCAGGAATCAAACAAACACAGGTTTATAAATATGTTCCTAGGTACTTTCCCAAGGGGAACAAGCATGGTGTCTGCCTCTGCAAGAGATCTGCAAACTTACACTGTACACTTCTCCATGTAGCTGCTTTATTTGTGAGAGCTAGTAAAAACGTCCAACAACAGAAGAATTGAGTAAACAGTGGGGTAGGAGCAGCCATACAGTGGAGTACTACTCAGCCAGTGAAAGAAATGGGCCGCGGACGCAGGCTACAGCCTGGATAAATCTCACAGACAGTATGGAGAACAAATGAAGCTACTCCAAAAAGGCAGATCCTGTATGATTACATTTATATCAAGTTCAAGGACAGGCAAAACTGATCAATGAACATAGAAACTGGAATAGCAGTCACCTTGGGGTGGGGACTGGAAAGAAGCACAAGGGAAATGAGCGGTGGTGGGAATGTTCCATGTCACGACAGGAGGTGGATGCCAGGCTGTACATCGCCATCAGTCACTGAACAGGTCGCCCTAAACGTCCGCATGTCTGTGTGTTTATGCATGGAAATCACACTTCAGAAATTAACGTGTATACCTGTAATCCTAGCGCTCTGGGAGGCTGAGGTAGGAAGATTATAATTTTGAGCCCAGCCTGAGCAACCCAGTGGGATCCTGTCTCAAAAGGAACAAAAACAACAAAAAAGGCTGGGGGTGTATCTTAGTGCAAAGGCTCTGGGCTTAATCCCCAGTACTGCAAAAACCAACCAACCAACCACCACAACCACAAAGTGCTCTCACTGGGGAAAAAGCACATATGCCCCATAACTGCAGAGCTAGGCCCAGGCATAGGAAGAGTTCCCCTTGTAGCGTCCCTCTATCCAGCACGGACAGATCTGTGTGAGACGCCACTGCCGGAAGGCAGGCGCGGGGCTGCGCTGGCTCTCCGTACCTTGACTCATCCTCTGCAGGCTGGGGAAGGAGCAGTTGGGAAGCGCTTTCCACAGGTACAGCACCTCGATGGACGCCAGCACGCACAGCACTGTGCTTGGGGTTTGCTTCCGAAATCGCTCTGCCTGCAAGGAGTCAGGGTGGTCAGGCTCGGCTGCCCAAGAACAGATTTAACCTAATAGAACCTCCCTCCGGAGATAGGAAGGACGGGGTTTACACTCAGCGTGAGCGATCCTCTCCTCAGAGCTACAATGAAAAGCTCTCTGTAGTGAAAAAATGTTGGCTTTCCAGTTTTTAATACAGATGTTTTATATAACACATCCATCTACTATACGTGTGCTCGTTACCCACGCACCGGAAACACGGGAAGGGGATGAGACCCAGTAAAAACCACTGAATTCATAATGTAGCAACCCAATGGGTCTTTGTGGAGGATATAAGACTGGAGGCAGTTCAGGTATAGATCGATCAATTTTTAAATTTCCTACTTAGTTCCAAGCTCTCAGTCGCATCCCAAATCAGACTCAACTTACACTCAAATACCACTTTGAACAGGCCTGAGCACGTCTAATTTATACTAAAAAACAAAAAATTCATGAAATACGCATTCAATAAAAACAAATAAAACTTAAAAACTTGCTTGTGAAGCAAAAGGAAGCTTATAAAACTAAAATCATGGAGAATTTAGGGTATGACATATTTCATAACTTCAGGTAATTCATAAATCTGACTCTCAGAAATGCAGAGTCAATCTGAGACACGGTCCCTACAGGGCCAGCTTTCTGCCGGTCAAGCCGATGCACACTTTGGTTTTCTGCTGCAGCAGTGCAGCCCCGTCCTGGGTGCCCAGCACTGTGCTTCCATAGGCTCTGCCCATCTGGATTCTTCTGAAGCCACTGCTCTGCAGACTGACACTCTGCTCTCCAGACAGGCACTACCTCTGCAGCGTCTCTGTTTATGTTTTTGCTTTTTCAAATCTGCTTTCGTTATTTGCAGCAAAGTGAGCACTTGTGACTCAGGGCAGAAGCAGGATCAAGGGATAAATTCCCCCCACCGGGGTGAACTGCATTTTGCAGGCCAAGTAAGTCACCAGCCGTGTGCATGGCCCGCTAAAGCCTGTCCTAGTGGCGTCAGTTACAAACATCCACGATAAATGATACACCAGACTGACCAGGCCCAACATACCTTTTTCACTGAGAACTGTTCGATCTGGTTGTTTTTCCTTTTGAAGAGCTTCTGAACTTCTTTAAAGACGACCTGTGCCCCGTCCACATCACCGCTGGCTCCCTGACAAACTGTAAGAAACCAGAATGAAGTTTCTCAAGCAGAATTACACCAATAAGTGACGCCTACGGCGATGATGGCAGGACGAACGAGGCACGAGTGTGTCTCACTGCTGTTACACACAGGATTGCACCACCCCACCCGTTCCGCTATGTCCTGGGTGCCTGTGTTCCCAGAACTTTGGAAGAACACAGAAGACCATGGTCCTCATCCTCTTGTTGGGGAGACAGCTTTGCGTGCGAGAAAGTCCTGCGCTACCATCACAGCATGCATCCTACGTGGAGCCCGCGTGCTCCAAGAGTGGGACGACGAGGACTCTAGGAAGGACACTAAGGAGCTCAGGGGATTGGGAGAGCAGCACCAGGTATCCCTGTCCTGGGAAAATGTCACGCATCGGTCCGGCACACGTTCATCAGCCACCGACCACCGCAAGCCCCCAGCAGTATGGGGAGAGGAAGCACCTGGCCTTGCACCCGAAGACATGAGAACTTCCGCTGCAGGGATCACACACACAGCCAGAGGTCCATAGCTGCCACACACATAGTGACAACGGGCCTTAGGGCTGAGAACCAAAGGGCTTTCAGAAAAGCCCTTTTCTCTTTAAAAGTCCTAATTAAAAATATAGCAAAGAAAGAAAAGAGACAAGGGAAGGCGAAGGCTGTGGAGGGCAAAATATCCCACATTAGGAAAGGCTCCCAGTAAGTATTTCAGAGACAGAGCACAGGACCAGGCAGCCCAGTGGGGGACCACGGGACAAAGGGCCACGAGGCAGAGTACGGACTCTCCTGGGTTCGGTACTCAGCCTGGCGGGCTCGGGGAGCACAGTACATCCTTGTGCTATCTACTTGGCTGTAAAAAATGCTACCACGCTGTGGAAGAGCTGGAGAAATGCGAACTCTGCTTCCTACTCCACACTTTTCCACCCTCCAGGCGTGACGCCTACCTGACCACGGGCAGGCAGGTCCCCGCCGCGCGGACGTCTACTCACCCGCAGTCAGATATGCATAATAGCACTGCGACCACCTGGACTCGTTCTTCAGCCTCTCGAAGGAGTCAAATGCATCCTTGAAGTTGAGCTCGATCATGCTGCACCAACCTACAGAGGTCACACGTTAGCATCCGCCCCCAGGGACAAGCTCTGTGGCCTGGGTGCAAGCTATGGATCTCTGGGGCTGCCCGCCGTTCCTGTTTGCAAATGCTCTGGGTCATGCTTAAAAACTTACCTTGAAAATTTAAGAAATTATTTTTCCCCTTAAATACTTTCAGACGAGGCAATGAGTAACAGATTAGGCAGCAGCGGCAGAATTGGTATGGTAGATTATATATTCAGTGGCTGACTCAGAAAGTCTTAAAGCTCTCTCTTGATCATTAGCTCTTACTAGTGACTGTCAGACCTTTGACAGGAGTAGAGAACTAGCCAGTCAGAAGTGAGATACCACCCACCCTTCCTCTGCACATAATGGGGAGCAGGGGGAGAACCCCATCTTTCCCGCAACAAAACACTAGCATTGTGGTAAAGAACAGCGGCACTAAAATGAGACTTGTCTCATGGTTGATGGTGGCTTTCACCAACCAAGCCCCTAGGGGGCGCTAGCTCTGCATATAATTTCTGCTGATCCTTAACTGCAATCTTGCGATAGGGGCTGATCATAACCTCATACTGGCAAGGTCAGTGATGCGCTCACGGCTGCTCAGCTATTAAGAGGGAAGATCAAAGTCCAACACTCTTCCCTTTATACACTATTGCCACTATAAAAAGAAATCCCGGCGTCTGCTATTTCACTAAGTAACTGTAATCTTGGACCTGCCATTTATGCTATTGGGGCATCTGCACTTCCAGAAAATGTGCTGTGAAATTCCATGGCGTATAATGTATTTTAAAGTAAAATGTTAGGCTCATTATTCACATCCTATAAAAGATATCAGGGTAAGATCTGCGTTGAACACATTCTCCTGAGTCAGCTTCCCAGCCCGGGCTGGACCACCCGAAGCTCCCTCCATTCTAACGTGCTATCCTGCCACAGACCTTGAAAGGATGCGCCGGAAAAGGCTGCCCAGGCTGGGCTCTGAAGGCAAAGTTTTAGTAGCATAGCCACTAAACAGAAATTCAAGAGAGTTTAGCATACACAAAAACTATGTTTTTCCACTGGAGTACGATTAGGTCATTTCCTCTTCCTCAGCCCTCACAGGCATTGAAAGCATAATGCTGTTTACTGGGTAGTTTCCAATGTTTTCTTCTGCACTTACACTTTAAATGCTTCAGAAAGACAACTGTGTCCACAGCAGGGGAAGCCAGTGGCAAAAGCACAGTAGAGTCTGGAGGTGACGGGTGACAAGTGCCTTGCTGAGCACCCTCCGCCCCCACCTCCACCGCTCTGCAGACAGCTGGTCGAGTCCCCCTTTCCGCTGTGATTCCCACATTCTCCCCTCCTCCTCACTCTACGCCTTTCTTCATACCTTGTCTCTGTGCTGAAGAATGGGCTGCCTTGCTGTATGAGGGTGAAACTCTACAAGTGGGAACCCTTATTTTATTTTCAATTTATAGCTTTGCTATTTCTTTAAGATCAGTTTACCCCAAATCAAGCCACAAGCAATTCCTAATTCTGGGGTTGACATCTCACTTTTTAAGACTCAGTTTTTAAGGTACACATATGACACTCAGTGCTAGGCCTGGGAGGTGGCAAAGGACTGAAAACCCTACTCTATGGTCTTCAGCCCCCCTCACAGGACCTGGTGACCCTCCACCTTGGGAAGGTCGGCAGCTGGTGTCCCGGGCCCTCCTGGAGTAGTAGCCACATCTCTGGCTTTGCCTGGAAAGGCACAGAAAAGCCTGGAAAGGTAGCTCAGCCCTGGCCTGCTCAAGCTTTATTTATTTATTGTTTGTTTCTGGCTCAAGGCTGGGCTTCCTCTTCTCAGCACAGCGGAGAAACTGTTACAGAAAAGGATTTTCCTGATGTACCAGCTCAGAGAGTTGAGTGCAGTCAGGAAAAGACTCAGCAACAACGAGGAGGAGG